AAATTATTTGGTAGTTATAAAATTTAAAAATCTCAATTACAAATTAAAATAAATTTATGTAATATTTATTAATATTCTATTTATTTAATTTTTTAAAAGTTCTAATAAAAAAATTAAATAAAATTTATAATTCAGATTTAATATTCTTATTATTTAGTAAATAATTCAAAAGGGCAAAATAGTCTTTTGAGTATTTATCATTCTCCATAATATCCCAAACAAACATTGGATTCAATAGAATAGTCCAATTCAGACCTCTAATCCCATGACTAAACAAACATAGGATAGAAATCCAATCTAATCAAGTAGTCCAAGGACAATGTATCCCAGGACTAACAGTCCGATGGATTACAATCCCCCCTTATCTAGTCCGTGCAAATAAACACACCCTTAGGGAGTTGGGATTGTTAATCCAACTCTCTTGGATTGAAAATAAAAGACAAATTTTAATATTATTTTGTTTTAAATAATTTATTGGTGAAAGAAATATTTAAATTTTTAATAAACACTAAAAAAAAATATGATTTTTTTATATTTAATGAATTTTTAAATGATTTTTAAGCAAAATTTATATTTTTTAGAACTAGAAAATAATAATTATAATATTAAAAAATACTAAAAGTTAAAAAATATTAATATTATCTATAGCATTACAAATCTGGTGGTGTATAAACAAACACTCTTTATCTTACATCTCCAACCTAATACCAATATATTAATAATCTCCTCACTCAAGGATATTTTGAGAAATATGTTAAAAGTGAGATTTTTAATTTTTTTTTGACTTTTACTGAAAAAATATGTAAAAAAAAGAGAAATAATATAATCCAAAAAAAATCAAAAAATCAAAAAAAAAAAAAAACTTTTACCTAACTTGACAAAATAGGTCTCAATCATTTTATTCTTAATCTCCTCCTTCTAATAAGCCAAACAGAACGTGACCATATAGAAACAATTTTAAATACTATCCCCAAGAAACTATATGATGAGGTCAACCACCACGGCTGAACTATAGATCAAAATCTACACAAGACTTATCTTTCTGCCTTTGTTTCTTGTTTTGTCTTTTGGGTCTCAAGTGGGTATGTATGTTTGACCCCGCGTCGTTTTCCATCGTCAAGACCTTGATGTTTGATGTTGAACTTCTCACACCAATTTTTTTGATCTTTTAGCAGTGCCACAAATTTTTTTTCAAAAAATAAATTGATCCATATACTTATATATAGTAGCTTAACAAGCTTGACGTGTTTATAATTAAGGAATATACAGGGCCGACCTTGAATATAGGCCCACCAAACTATGGCTTAGGGACTCTCAAAATAGATTCAAAAAAAGAGATCATTTCTATCATAATTTAGTGTAATATATTAAATATGTTTTAAGTTTAAAAAAAATTAAATAAAGGCCTAAACTACCTTAAATTAAATTGACTCATTAAAAAATTGAGAGATCCATTCAAAAAAATTAGCATTGTTATCCATTGAAAATAGACCCAAAAAAAGGATCCTATCCTATTATAGTTTGGGATTTTTATTGGCCGGTCCTATTTTTTATAGTTATTCCCATCTTAATCTTGAAAATTGGCTTTATGCACCAATAAGTCCTAGAGTTCTATTTTTTGAACCGTTTTACCCCTTGTTTTGTTTTTTCCTGTTTTTGTCGCAATTTGTCACTGTAAACTTACTAGTGTATGAACTTTTCATTTCTAATAATTGAGCATGCATGGAATTGATCTACACAAGACTTATCTTGAAAATTGGCTTTATGCACCAATAAGTCCTAGAGTTCTATTTTTTGAACCGTTTTACCCCTTGTTTTGTTTTTTCCTGTTTTTGTCGCAATTTGTCACTGTAAACTTACTAGTGTATGAACTTTTCATTTCTAATAATTGAGCATGCATGGAATTGATGAATAATGATTATTTTCGTCATTACGAAAGTTGTTCATGTATTGTTGTAGGAGCATGGAATTCATCAATGATAAATTCATCACTATACAAATTTTGTGTCGATAATTGAGCATGCATGGATATTCATGGACTTGACGTACATATATATATACAAGGCAATCTCTGCGTTTACAGCCTAAATGCGCTGAATTATAGATCATCCAGGAGAGATATTACCATGTGTATCTAGAAAATATATTAGAATATACATGAAATTTGCAAGCAATATCTAGAAAATATATCAAAATAGATAATTTATCATGGGCATGCTTGCACAAAGTGTCAATACCAACTCATCATCGTCACAAATCAACACAAGATTCAAAGATATATTCAACATTAAATTTATCACTGATAAATTTCTCACTGACTGTTTGTTAAAAAATTATAAAAAGAAAATTTCATCATCATCACAAATCAACACAAAGATTTAAAGACGTATTCAGTACTGTTTGTTTGTTAAAAAATTATAAAAAAGGTCACAAATCAACACAAAGATTTGAAGACATATTCGAAGACACATTCATTGATAAATTGCTCACTGATTGTTTGTTAAAAAATTATAAAAAGAAAATCTTATCATCATCGTAACAAATCAACACAAGATTCAAAGACATATATCAGTGATAAATTTATCACTGATATATTAAACCATTGTTTGCAACAGATTTGATTTGAAGAAATTAAAGAGAGACGGCGAGGGAAGAGACGAACTGCGAGACTTTGGAGAATCAAAACATAGAGCTTGTAGTCATTTGAAATTGATTTCACAGTAGAAACAACTAGATTGATATAGATCTAGGACAAAGTAAATTTCTTCGGATGTTGTTCCAAATCACCAGAGATCTCTTTGTTTGTAGGAAATCGGCTAAGAAATCGCATTTCACATCGCATGGTTTCTTCACACGTTTGTGAAAGAGAGATTGTGGAATTGTTTTACACATGTGGTGGTCAAGAATATGGGTAAACTGGGAATACAAAAAAAAATAATTATAAGGTCAGGAGTTTGTGGGTATTAACTTTGGTCCAAGGGACCAGCGGGTAACTCCCCCTTATAATTTAGTATAATATATTAAGTATGTTTTAAGTTCAAAAAAAATTAAAGAAGACTCAAACTAATTTAAAATAAATTGACCAATTAAAAAAGTAAAAAGCCCATTTAAAATAATTAGCATTGTTATCCATTGAAAATGATTTTGCAAAAAAACTAAATTATGCAAGTATGATTGATTTATTTGCTTCTAAAAATGCAAGAAGTGCGAGGATCAAATGATACTTATTAGTTGTTGTAATGTAATGCTAACTGTGTGTTTGGTAACATTTACGTTTTCAGTTTATATTTACAAAAATTTTATAAACTGGTTTTTGTTTATTTTTTGTTTATTTTTAGAAAAACATAAACTACAAACGCGTTTGGTAATTGACAAAATGTTTAAATTCAAAAAAAAATTTCATTCAATGAAATAAAAATGTGAAAATGCCCAAAAATTTATTAGTTGATTATCGATTTTGGACCTTGAAAATCTGAGGGCCGGACTTGGAGATACAACTTACAAGTATCCATGCAACACAAGATCCAATTATATAAAAAAATAGTCTAATTATTATGTAAATTAACATTTCAAAAGATACCAATTAAAAATGTGAAACTAACTATAATTTTTCTAAATTTTAGAAAAGGTTAATGTATTTTACCTTTAATATATATATATACTAGCATATGTGTAAATAATATTGGTACACATATTTTACAAAAATCAATTAACATAAATTATTAAAATTGGTATCACATCCTTTACAAAAAAATCAATTCAAAATGGTAATAATTTCGTTGCTATAGAAATCAATTAGAATAAATCAATTCATGATGACAATAATTTCACTGCAATATAAAACTCAGCACATAAGACTTCCACCACCATCTACAGCAACACCACCGCCGGCCGTGACTTTAGCAGGTATCGTACAATGGCAGCTCGTTTAAGTTAAAATATAATTTATCAGATTCATTGCTAAAAGTTTAAGTTAAAATATTAATTTGTATTTAAAATTTTTATTGAACTTTTTATAGAATTTCACCATCTAAAAACAGTATAGAATTTAAAATAGTTACTAATACAGTATTGAACAAAGGTGTGTTAACACATTTTTAAAATTTTAAAATGTCGTTGAATTGAGTCATATAAAAACTTTAGTGTATTTATCAAAAAAAATTTTGAGTCGTATGTATTTAAATATTTTTTTGATTAAAATAATATTAAAAGACAAAATAAGTTAAAATAATATCAAATTCATAATTATTTTAATTTACTAAACTAACCAAAAATAAGTTACATCATATCTAATTATAAAAAAATTGAACAATCTTGCTAAACATAATTATTTTAATCTACTAAACTAACCAAAAATTAAAATGACTTATTAAATTAAGCAACCTCCCATACACCTCCTATAATTCTGCATGGCTTTATTATTTTTTTTAGAAACCACACTCCTATTGCTAATTACACTCATCTTTCCAATTATTTATTGTGTCTCAAATTGGTCTTTTTTTTTGGCTCACTCTCTCGTTTTAATTAGAGACTATACGTATTTTTAAAATAAATAAAAAATATATATATCTATTAAAAAAAACTCTATAACTATTTATGTAAATTATAAATAAAAAAAACACTCTTTTTTATTTAAACACTCTTTAATAAATAATACTTAATGGATCCACTTAAAAAGTATAGGATCCTTCTTGGTGAGTGTTTTGTTACACGTGTGATTCAAACTACGTATAAAACCTTCTTCATGGCATTATGTTTCCGCGTCCGGATCCTCTAGGGTGAAAAGCCTACAGTCATCTCCTAGAGTGAACAATCCAACGGCTGACATTAAACCTCACCAAAACGACGTCGTTTTGGTGAGTACTTTGAAGAAAAAAAAATCAATCCAGGGCTTTCCTCTCCTTTTCTCTCTCTACCTTTTCTTTTCCATTTTCTTGCTCAAGAAAACCATTCAAAATCAAGAAATCTCACAAATTCATCTCTGAAAATCAATCCATGGCTCAAAGTTTCTCGAATTTTAGTATCAAGACCTCGGCTAGTGGTCCACCAGGTGTGGAACCCTCCCAAGAAACAGAGCTCAGCCAACTTGAAACTTGGGCTTCATGGTGATCTGAATCTCTAATGCCTAAACCCATTTGGATCTGACCACCCATTTCGCCAGTGAGGGCGTCGCTGTCGCCCGCCGCCGCCGTGGCCATCGACAGAGTAAGAGAAGAAGGCGAGAGGTTCCCACGTGAAGAAACAGAGGACTCGTTGTTGTTGTTGTTAGTACTGTTGGGATCTTCATTTGACCAAGCATCAATGAAACCCCTAGGAGTCTCCAGATCAGGGTTGAGAAACAAATTGCACTCATCGGCATAGGGAATCAGATTCAGAGACTCATCGATGCAATCTTGATTGAAAATCATCTGGGGAAAAGATAAGACAGAGCATTCAAAGTTTCTTTGAAAATCACAGCAATGACTACCCAAAGACGATGATCTACCATGAATGAACAATGAGCTCTGAGAATCAATCCATGGCTCAACCCAGAAAGGTTTAGTACCCACACGACTCAACTTGGTTTTGTTGATACTAAAATTCGATTTTAGTACCCCAGAAAGATTTCATGGCTCAACCTTTCTGGGTTTGTTGATTTTAGTAACCATGGATTGACTCAACCTTTCTGGGTTTGTTGATTTTAGTAACCATGGATTGACTCAACCTTTCTGGGTTTTGTTTCAATCCATCGTTTGATTTGTGAGATTTCTTGAGTTTGAGCCATGGATTGATTTTCAGATATGAGTTTCTGAGATTTCATCTATTACTTGAGCCATGGATTGATTTTCAGAATGGGTTGATTTTCAAAAAGGTAGAGAGAGAAAAGGAGATGAGAGCCATGAATTGATTTTTTTTTCTTCAAAGTACTCACCAAAACGACGTCATTTTGGTGAGGTTTAATGTCAGCCGTTGGATTGTTCACTCTAGGAGATGACCGTAGGCTTTTCACCCTAGAGGATCCGGACGCTATGTTTCCGTCTCCCGTAGGCACAGGTTTCTTTACAAAACCGTCTGATTCTCTCTCTCTCTCTCTCTCTCTCCAAAACTTTCTCTCTCTAAACTCAAACCTCATTCCATCTCTCCACAATCAAACCATTCCCAAAAACCATCTCTCTCATACAACTCCTGTAACCTTCGGAAAAAAAGGCCTCTCTCTCTCTCTATGTATATAGAAATACATACACAAATATGATTCAAGTGTGGTGTGTTCAAAAAAAAAAAAAAATCAATTTGATGGTTAGAAACACAAAACCACATGTTGCCCATCAATTTCCCAACAATACGAGAATGAGAATCGCCGATTTTAGCTTGGATCTGATCCTCGAAGTGTATCAAGGTTACTCCAGCGAGAAAACCGGTGGTTATGCCTCCATCGATACCGTGAGAGAGCCACTTCTGCTCAAGCTTTGAGAAGATCTCCAACGTCACTTGATTAGGTGAATTTTGAAACAAGACTCTCTTTAAAAAAGCAACAGGTCACGTTTTTTTGCTGAGAAGCATTAATGGAGTACGAACGCTTGAATCTCTCTCTCTCTCTCTCTCTCTCTAAAACAGTCACACAGCACAGTGGATGTGATTTCTCTCTCTCCAAGTCAGCGTGACAGTGTGTAGGAAAAGAATAGAGAGTTAAAAAGGCAGGGAGGAGAGTGGGGTGCTCTCCAAAAACGTTGGCAGTAGCCTGATGTCGATCCATCCATGGCAACAGCGATTATGAGCTGTGGCAGTGGTGATGCGCAGTAGCGGTGGAGATGATTGGAGGAAGTAGCGTTGTGCGGTGGCGATGACTGGAGGAGGTGATGAGTAGCACCATGGCTGGGTTGCGAGAGAGTCGTCGGAAAGAGATGTATCACCGTCGGAGAGAGATGTACCGGTGTTGCGGTGGGAAGTAAGACACACAGAGAGAGAGAGAGAGAGAGAGAGAGAGAGAGAGAGAGAGAGAGAGAGAGGGGAGGGAGGGTGGGTGTTTTGAAATTTGAAAATTGGGAGTGGGACTAAAAGACAAAGAGAGAAGAGTTTATAGAGAGTTTGATGAGCGTGGATGTTTTGAAATTTGAAAATTGGGAGTGAGACTGAAAGAAAGAAAAAAAAAAAAGAGATGATGATGGGTGGTTGCAAAATTGAGCATAGGAAATTTTGAAATCAGCATGGGTGATTGTTAGACTTTCTGAAATTTTGAAATCAGGATGGGTGGTTGCAAAAAGTGGAGATGAGGATGGGTGTGTTTTGAAATTTAAAATGTGGAAAGGTGAGGTGCGACAGATGAGGATGGATGGTTGCAAAGTTTGTGGCTCTTGGGTGAGAAGTTTAGGTAGAGTGAGAGAGAAGGTTTTCATCTTAGCTGTCCATCTAAATACAGAAATGAATCATGACCATTAAAATGCCCTAGTAGGACAATTGTCTCTGGGATAAATTCAAAAACCCTCTTTCCTTATTATATAAATACTAGTGTATGTCCATGCCTGAAGGCACGGTGCAATTAATAATGAGATTAAAATATAAATCAAAATAAATTATTAAAACATAATGGTAAGATTTTCTTTGTTCGATCTTCTTTTTCAATGGTGGTGGACAATCACAGAGCGGAGGTGACGATGTGTTCCTTATTTCAACACCCATTTCAAAAACTTTTTCAAAATCATAAAAAATCAACACTCATTTTTCATTAAGGAATTAAATCCATTTCATAAATCAAACTAAAAATAAAAATACATTTCTAAAATCAAAACCCATTTTATGAAGATCAATTATTATTTCAGACCCAAATCAAATCAAACCAAATCAAAAAACAACAAAAACAAAATCATAGGTTCCAAATGAGTATAGATCATGGATTTGGATATGAATTTTAAATAAATAAATAAAAAATGGTAAGGGAAATGTTAATGAAATATAAGCTAAATTTTTTATCCATTTATCTCACATTTCCCTTTTACAATGCAAGGGAAGGGAAGCCTCCATCTATTTATAGTGAGCTTACTTCTTTACAATCACTACTACAAAAATAGATAAAGATCACACTTTTTTTGTGTGATGTATGTTATTTAATCACACCTTTTAAGTTTTATTAAAGTGCGATTTTTGGGAGTGTGATTAAAAGGGGTCATTTTTAATCACACATTTTAAGTGTGATTAATAACATTTAGATCACACCTTCTAAGTGTAATTAAAAATATTTAGATCACAGATTTTAAGTGTGATTAAAAATATTTAGATCACACCTTTTAAGTGTGATTAATAACATTTAGATGTGAAAAAAAAAATATTATACTCACTAGCTTCTCATTTGCGCTTGTGGAGATTTGAACCATCAACCCTCTCACACCATAAATCTTATACAACATACTCTTTCCACTACACTTCTATAACACCATATAATTATATATGCAACATATATTATTTATATAGTACATAGACCCGTATTAATATAAAAGTATATATATAAAGATAATTATTTTTTATTGAACATAATTTATGTAAAAATAAATTATTTACTAGAAAAAAAAAAGACCAGTTTTGGCGACTAAACATAATTTTAGTCACCAATTCTATACTTTTGGCTACTAATTATTTTTTAGTCTTTAAAAAATTTAATTCCCGGGCTAAAATTATCACTTTTGGCGACTAAACTTCTTTTTAGACGCCAAAAAGCCTCACTTTTGGCTACTAAACATCTTTTTAGTCGCCCAATGTCTCACTTTCTTTATTCTTGAACTTTGTCGTCTTCTTGACTATTTTTCTCTTTTCTCATTTA